CCTCCCAGACAGCCCCATGGCTCCTGCCCCCCACCTCCCTTCCCCTGCCGCCGGTCCCTCCCCTGCCGCCCATGATCAAGTGTGTCCGGTATTTTGGGGGGCTCTATCTGGTAACCCTAGCTGCGCAGACACAGCGTCTCCCTTTAAAATCAGCGGGATCGGGCTGGGCAGTGACATGGGCAGTGCCAGGTACTTAGTGACCACCGGGGAGGAGCAGGAGAGGAGACAGGGGTGACCAGAAGGCTCCGGGCGCGCATTGGTGCCAGCTGGCTGCTCAGCCAAGGGATTTCCCGGGCCACGGCCCTTTAAAATCGGCAAGTAGGGGCTAGGCGTTGCCGGGGGCAGCGCTAGCTGCTTACCTGAAATGCCACCCCTGGCAAAGTGTCACCCCAAGCACCTGCCTGATTTGCTGGTGCCTACAGCCAGCCCTGCCGAAAAACTTTGCAGAGCTTGGAAATTAACTCAGTGAATGTTTTCCAAACCTCTCTCTTACCTCATCCATGCCTTCAGTTTTGGAACATTCTGCAGAGATGTGAGTTCCAGACTTCATTTACCCCACTGGCAGGAGACAGGCAGCTGTGGTGAAATGGTTAATTACTGCACAGTAATTGCTGAGAACGGTAACCATGGACTTTTTAAGGTCATTGAAGAATACAGAGTTATGGTATTTTGTAAATCTCTTGTTATCAGTGTATAATCACTATCTTAGCAAAGGCAGATTTTCTGTATGTTTGGGAGTTTCATTAAATGTCATTCTACTGAAAGATAAATTGGAGGTTTTAATTACAACTAGATGCAACTTTTTCAGCAAAATTTCATTTTATTGAAATAAACTTCTGTACGCATGAAAGCAGTTTTCAAAGATGTTTAGATTTCAACACAGTTCTGTCAGGGAGAGATGTGGACCTTTCTGAATCAAAATGCTTAGCCAACACAATGCTAAAGACCATTTTAAAAGGTTCTGTTCTTGCTCCTGAGTGGGACAAGAACACAGTTGAAACCTCAGGGGTTGCCATGACATGGAACTGTTGTCCACTGGAGCATGACAGTTTTAATGTTCAGGAAAGGCACTGAACTGACAGCTGTGGAGAATTATGTCCTCTAGTCAAATGGGGTAAATGGAGCACCAAAAGTGGAATTATGATCAGTATTTAAATTATTTAATCTATATTGAATTGTCTGCTAGAGATGCCTCAAAGTACTGAGGGGATACCATCTCTCACCTCAGTGTACATGCTCTTTATATCCAAGGTGTTGGGACTCAAAATGCCTACAAGAGAACTACCATAAATTAGCATATGTAACCCACATCCATGTATAACATGCACTCGTGTTTTTCTTTCATGTGTAAAAAAAATCTTAGATTACCCGCAGACGTACATAACCCACAGGCAGGGGCGGATATAGGGCAGGGCGAACGGGGCGGCTGCCCCGGGCCCCGCGCTTCAGAAAGCCCCGTGCATGCGCCGTGGCGCTGCCTCGCATGCACATGGCGTCACTGCGCATGCGCCGTGGCAAAGGGGGGGCCCCGCAGAATTATGCTGCCTGGGGCCCCGCAAAATGGTCATCTGTTCCTGCCCACAGGTAACGAACTGCAGGTAATGAACGAGTAATGAAGTGTAGCTGAGGCTGCTGAGCAATAAGTACTAGCCTATTACCGGTATTTAAGCCCTACGAACCACACCGTTTTAAAACCTCTTCAGTTTATAACAAAATATTTGTAAGGATGCCTAAGTGCAAATCATATACATCCAATTTTAAATTGTCTGTTCTGACATATGCAAAAGAAAATGGCAATAGAGCAGCAGGGAGAAAATTTTCCGTCGATAAAAAGTCTGTTCAGAGGTGGAGAAAAGAAGAAGCGGAGATTGAGAAATTAAATCCATGGAAAAGAGCGTGCCAAGGAAAGAAAGCCAAGTGGCCAAAACTGGAAGAAAACCTGGTGAAATGGGTTCTTGCACAGAGAGAGAGCCAACGTGCGGTCTCATGTTGGTCTTGTCTTCTTTTAATTTGAGTAAAAATCAGCTAGTATAAGATGCAGACATGTATACCCCACATGGGGCGGGGGGCATGTATAACTCGCAGCTTATATTTGCTAATTCGTGATAATTATCAAGATGGTGGCTGTCTTACTTTGGGGGAGGAGGACAATGTCTATGTCTTTTAGGAACTTGACTGAAGCTACAAACTCTTTTTCTCTTAGGCCACCAAAGGGCCATCATCTAGTGACTATCCACTGTCAACAAGTACTAGTCTGTGTTCATAGAATCATAGAATACTAGGACTGGAAGGGACCTCGAGAGGTCATCGAGTGCAGTCCCGCGCCCCATGGCAGGACCCAGTACTGTCTAGAATCTAGACCATCCCTGATAGATATTTATCTAACCTACTCTAAAATATCTCCAGAGATGGGGATTCCACAACCACCCTAGGCAATTTATTCCAGTATTTAACCACCCTGACCATTAGGAACTTTTTCCTAATGTCCAACCTAAACCTCCCTTGTGCAGTTTAAGCCCATTGCTTCTTCTTCTATCCTCAGAGGCCAGGAAGAACAAGTTTTCTCCCTCCTCCTTATAATACCCTCTTAGATACCTGAAAACCGCTATCATGTCCCCTCTCAGTCTTCTGTTTTCCAAACTAAACAAGCCCAATTCTTTCAGTCTTCCTTCCTTCTCTAAACCTTTACTCATTCTTGTTGTTCTTCTCTGAACCTTCTCCAATTTTTCCACATCTTTCTTGAAATGTGACACCCAGAACTGGACACAATACTCCACCTGAGGCCTAACCAGCGCAGAGTAGAGCGGAAGAATGATTTCTCATGTCTTGCTCACAGCACACCTGTTAATGCAGCCCAGAATCATGTTTGCTTTTTTTGCAACAGCATCACACTGCTGACTCATATTTAACTTGTGGTCCACTATAACCCCTAGATCCCTTTCTGCCGTACTCCTTCCTAGACAGTCGCTTCCCATTCTGTATGTGTGAAACTGATTGTTCCTTCCTAAGTGGAGCACTTTGCATTTGTCCTTATTAAACTTCATCCTGTTTACCTCAGACCATTTCTCCAATTTGTCCAGATCATTTTGAATAATGACCCTATCCTCCAAAGCAGTTGCAACCCCTCCCAGCTTGGTATCATCTGCAAAATTAATAAGCGTACTTTCTATGATAATATCTAAATCGTTGATGAAGATATTGAACAGAACCAGTCCCAAAACAGAACCCTGCAGAATCCCACTTGTTACTCAGGAATAACGGCATTGCGCAAAAGGGTTTTTGTTGCGCAAGAAGGGGCAGTGTAGACAGCTCCTACTGGTGCAAGAGCCTCTTCTGCAAAAATGGCAGCTCATTAGGTATGCAAACGAGGCTTGGCGATAGTCCATGCTTAGCCTCATTTGCATATTTCTCACGCAAGAAGCCATGAGTGCAGACATAGCCCAGGGGCCACGGAGCTTGGCTCCTTGAATAATCATTGATGGCTTGAATGGGGGCAGAATTGCAAACAGCTGCTAGCTCAAAGTCAGGAAGCAGCTCAGGGACCAAGCGGCACACGTGCTTTCTGAGACCCCGGACCTGGTTGCGGACCCCCAGGTACCAGCTTAGCTGTCCAGTCCCCTTTCCCAAACCCCCACAAGTATCATGCCCCCTGCCCAAAATCCCACAAGTACTCTGACCCCTTGCCCAAAATCCCACAAGTACTCTGACCCTCTGCCCAGACCCCACGAGTATAACTCAGGGACCAAGCGGCACACGTGCTTTCTGAGACCCCGGACCTGGTTGCGGACCCCCAGGTACCAGCTTAGCTGTCCAGTCCCCTTTCCCAAACCCCCACAAGTATCATGCCCCCTGCCCAAAATCCCACAAGTACTCTGACCCCTTGCCCAAAATCCCACAAGTACTCTGACCCTCTGCCCAGACCCCACGAGTATAAGGCCCCCCGCCCAAACCCCCACGAGTCCCCTGCCCCCCCCCGCCCAGACC